CTCTCCTTCACCAGCCGGCACTGACCAGCGTGGGTGAAGGATGGGGGTCAAAGAAGTTGACGTGCCACGGGGAGGCTTTCATCCAACTGCAGTGAATTGACAAAGAAGCAGTCAATGCAGACGGTCATGTTCGTCGTGGTGGTGGTGGTGATTGTGGCCGGCTGGATCACAGTCCTCACTGCTCAAGTCACTTCTGCCTCCGTCCGAGACGGATTGCGATGGAGATGGAGAAGATGATTGCGGTGACGGCTAAAAGCCGTTATTGATTTATTCACTTCATAAGTTGGTAGGCCAACCTTAGACTTGAATAGAATCCATCCGTTGAGCTGTGCTTACTATTATTTTACTCGTACAATATAAATATACGAGCCAGGGAAAAAAAGCTTGATCAGTCTACAGCTGACCTAAATGTTTTCGGCTCAGTGGCCGCGTGATTTCTTGAGTACATAATGCACTGATTCTGCCCCACTGGTAATGTTTTTCAGCAGAGACTTGGAGGAACACCACCGCAGGGTCACCCTGTGCTTGACCCCAGTGATGAGGTCAAAGTTACATTTGCGCAACGTATTTTGTTGTTGATCTCATTGATGCAAAAAAAAAATTAAGGTTAACAAAACTCTGTGGCTGTAACGTAATAATATAGATCATTGTTATTCTACTTCGCATCGTTCGTGCAAAATTTCATCTGAAACGCTGCGGAATTAGTAACGCGCGCTCTTTTAGCAACACAGAGGCGCGGTAAACTACACACAGGCGGGAACGCAGCCAGCATCGTGCACACAAACATCCAAGCTCTGTGGTCTTACATTGCAATGTTGGGCTAAGCATATAATGCAGCGCTATCTGGCATTACCAAGCTCACCCTGTATAACATACAAAATGTAGCATGTAATGATGTGGCGATTCATCGGTAAACACGATCCTCACGATCACAGTGACGTGTTTTAAAGCGTGCTTGTGAGAATCGTTGATTTAAAATTTTATATTTTTAAAAAAGTTGTACACTCACGTTTAATTTAAAGCAATGGGGCAAATGAGGCTACACAAAGAAGGGAACAGTTAGCAACAATACAAACGGTACGATACAAATGAGACGAAAATTAATATGTTCTTGATTTGCCTTTAATCACGAACGACGGAGAAAGGGGGGGGGTATTTGTTATCTGTCTGTTAAACACATTTTGTCTGCGTTTGCAACAGCTGCCCATTATATACTGGTGTCATTGTCCACAGTGGAACATTTGAAACCAACCTGTGACCAAGTAAAGATAAAGACATTGAAAGCATCTGTTGAATACCAAGTTTCCCTTTACTTAAGGAAAATTGGATCCTGAAAGCTTCTCAGCATTCATAAATGGATCGATTTGCTAATTGTCTGATCTCGTGGACAAGAACTCACTTTAAGTGTAGATCAGTCACTATTACTTTTTTGATGAGATGCATTTCTTAATGCTCATGCAGAAAATGTGCACCAGTGGTGAACCGCGTCTCCGTTTGGGTGCATAATGTACTTTATCCAAACTTTTATGCAACTTGTACACATTGTGTTTGCAACTCCAGTGAACCATTACGACGGGGAAAAAAATACTTTTTAACAAGCTGACAAGCCGGGATCATTTCGGGAGCCCTCATTTCTGTCCGCGGCTCGACTTCACACCATTAAGCTTGGTGTGCCATAGTGGCTAGAAGATGTTAACTACCTCGCCTGGCACACAGGAGGTCGTGGGTTCGATTCCGACCCTGACGATGCCTGTATATTTGGAGTTTGCGTGTCTCTCTCCCCGTAGTCGTATGGGGTTTTCTCTGGATCCTCCTGTTTTTCCCTCCACGTTTGGAATCATGCATTTCGAGTATGTAGCTGCTATACATTTCCACGCGATAAGCCACTTCGTTGAGCTATCATTTCTGGCCAGAGTTGCTTCAGAAAAAAGAGCTATACAGCTCAGTGGGCCTAACCCTGTAAAGCAACAATAATTTATTTTAGTATTGGTTCGCGGCCACAGTCGTCAACGTGGTGCGTCATCATCGTCTGTCTTTGCACCGCAACTACAGTCGCGGATGTGGTGCAAGCTTTCCCACCGGTGCAGGCTTTGCTGCACGGAGGAGACCTTCGCCGGTTCGAAACTCTGTTGAGCAGAGCCCGGCCAAAGATCAAACCCAGGCTGGCGGGAGCTTAGGGTCGCCTACGAGGAATTGGTTCCGTGACTGATCATTAGAAAGTGCGACTGTGGTCATCCAGAACAGACCCGTACAATGTATCACGATGCAATGCCCGATCCACAAATGCAAAAGAGACATCACAGCAATGCACTACGACGCTGCTCCTGACGCGGTTCTCAAATTAGAAATGCTTTTTTGAAAGTGTGTTGTTGCCGATCTCGCCCAAAGGCTCCACGAATCTGGGCGTGGGCACCAGTGAGCCGTGCGGTGAGTTCGGCAGCGATCGGTTTGGAAGTTGCGTAGTGTTGGCGAACACAAGGGGAGTTTCCGCGGATGGGACGGACTCACGGGCAGACAATATGTCCTGGGCATCGCAAATACGAGGCCAATCAACTCCGTTAAAAAAAGATACGAGGCAGCAATAAAATAACCGGTCAATTCACGGAACGCAATTACCAGTTGGGTTACATTTATTGTCTATTAATTTGGAGCAATTGTGCTCAAAATCAATTTCACGCGCAACTCAAAATGGATTCGAAACGGCACAGTTGATGCCGGTAACTCCTCAAGGATTAGCGGCCATTCATTACGCTGGGCCAGCTGCTTGCATTATTATTGGGTTTTTGCAGTTGTTTATTTCCTTCAGTGTTTATCTTGACCGGTGTTCAGGTTCTGGACGAATAACTCTCCGTCTTGGAAATGAGGGCTTAGGGCAAGACAGAAGATGCCCAGTGCCAGGTGCGGGCCGGGTTTGTTCTCCTTGCCCCCCCGCCCCCCCGTATCGGCCCTGCGCTCTGTCGTCTTTGTACTCCCAAACGTGCCGGGCCGCGCCGCGCGTCGAGAGCCAGAATTTTAAACGAGTTCAGCGGCGGACAGGCGGCAACGTTAACGTGGCGTGCATCGTTGCGAGATCGCCGATATGATTTTGCGGGAGAGGTGCGGGTCGGGGATGGGGGCGAGTCTGTCCATCCACGGGACAATCAATGTCGACTGCCCCGCAAACTGGTCGTCATTTTAACAAACCCCCGGGGAGAGGGGACGATGGGCCGAGTGAATGCCCCCCAGCCCGAGATATGAACTTGAAAACTTTTGATTGCGAGCCACTCGCTCCAAGCGCCGAGCCAACCGGCCGACTGGATCGATACGCGCGTTCTCCTTCACGGCACGCGGTGGGACCGTGCGGGCCGTGTACGAGCATCGGGTTTTAAGTGTGCCGTGTGAGTGGACGAGGACTGGTCGAGGCCAGCACGCCGCTCCGTGATGTACGATGGTTTTTTGTTACGGGCTTCAAAGCTCTGCGAGTGGTGCCTCTTCGAGGTTGGCTCAGCTTGAAAAGTTCCTGCTGGGGGCCGCTTACATCATGGACTCCCCCCACCCCACCCCCCACAGGTTAGCTTAGCCTGCAATTAATTTCCAGTGAGCGTTTCAAAAAGGCCAACTTGACCCAAAGGTGGATGATGTCTTTTTAACCGCTTGCACTTTGTTCTGTCCATACCACATCAAGTGGTTTGTAAATAAGACTCGTGTCGTTTCAATTGTTTTCGTGGGTTTTTGTTGTTGTTGTTGGGCCGGTGACGTGATGGATTGGGAGCGCGTTTCTCGCTTGCTGCAAGCGGTTTCATGTTCGAGGACAGCAGCCACCCTGGGTAACACCGCTAGTGTTTTCTACTGCACGCTATCCGCTTCCTGGTGGACGTTAAAGATCCCCAGACGTTATTTGAAGACGAGTAGGCCGCGTGTGCCGGCGTGACGGCCCAAATTCGCCAAATCTGAAAATTACTGTACTTGCAAAGGACCTAAATGGCTAAAAAACACTTAGCAGCATCGCCCCCTGCTGTGGAGCGACTGCAGTTTATACGGAATGCCATTGCAGGACCAGTCTTGACCATCGGCCACCATCCATTGCAGTGATGTGTCCTGCCAAAGCCGAATTTCTTTCCTAAACAGTCGATCCGATGTCTGCTATATGGATTTATTCCTTCTTCCATGTGTTCCTCCGTCTCTCGGCGTTATTCCCAGCACGCATCGCTCCGATCCTCTTTGTGCACCTTTTATCTTTTGTTGCCTTTTGTTTGTCAGAGTCCATGAAGTCTGATCAACGAGTCTTCGTGGGTAACACGCATTGATTGAAAGCATTTTCATTAAGGCCCTGTTTTATATGTTCTCTGGTAAACATCAATAAAATACCAATATTTTTGGGTCTCAAGGTGGCGGGGGTGGGAGCCGATCACCCCCATTGCACGGCGCTTGCAGAAGCATTTCTGCGGCCGTCTGGAACGCTCTTCTTTCTGATCTTAGGAAGGCACTGGAGCTATGGACTTTGAAATCATCTAGGTTGAAAACCAATTTCTTCAGAACGCTTTTTGTGTTTAGTTTGTTGTCCTTCCCCCGCACCTCTGATCAGCTGGGTCGGCTACGTATGGCGCAAAATAAGTTCAACGTACACACATAACGTACACACATAACGTACACACATAACGTACACACATAACGTACACACATAACGTACACACATAACGTACACACATAACCTACACACATAACCTACACACATAACGTACACACATAACGTACACACATAACCTACACACATAACGTACACACATAACGTACACACATAACGTACACACATAACGTACACACATAACGTACACACACAACGTACACACATAACGTACACACATAACGTACACACATAACGTACACACATAACGTACACACATAACGTACACATATAACGTACACACGCGGGCCTCGCTTGGGATCTACCACTGCTGTTGTGGTGGCCGCTGACGGGAACTCCTTCCCCGCCTTCCCCCACCCCCCACCGTCTCCTCCAGGTGTTCCTCAAGAGCGAGCGCGTGACGCGCATGGTGCAGGGTGGCGGCTGCTCGGCCAACGACTTCCGCGACGTCTTCAAGAAGCACATCGAGAAGCGCGTCCGCAGCCTGCCCGAGATCGACGGGCTGAGCAAGGAGACGGTGCTCAGCTCCTGGATGGCCAAGTTCGACTCCATCTACCGCGGCGAGGAGGACTCGCGCAAGCAGCCGAGCCGCATCGCGGCCAGCGCCGCCTCGGAACTCATCCTGAGCAAGGAGCAGCTGTACGAGATGTTCCAGAACATCCTGGGCATCAAGAAGTTTGAGCACCAGCTCCTCTACAACGCATGCCAGGTATGGAGCGGAGCTGCTTGCTTGATGATGGTGTTGTTGTTGCTGCTGCTGCTGTGGTCGTGGTGGTTGTTGTTGTTGCTGCTGTTGCGGTGGTGGTGGTTGTTGTTGTTGCTGCTATTGTTGCTGCTGTGGTGGTGATGGTTGTTGTTGCTGCTGCTGTTGTTGCTTCTGCTGTGGTGATGGTTGTTGTTGTTGTTGCTGTGGTGGTGGTGGTTGTTGTTGTTGGTTCTGAATGTGAGTAGGCCAGTGCGATGGATGTGGAGTAGTCCCAAGCCCATTAAGGGCCATCAGTGGAGATTCAGACTTTGGGGAGAGTGCAGGAGAACGAGGAGTTACGAACAGTGCACGCCAGACAAGTTCACGAAGCCAGCGGTGGTGATAGCCAATTGGGTGCCCTAAGCAGAAATTACTTTTCTGTGAGTCACTTGACTCCAAACATTCTGTGCTGGACAATCTGCTGACATTAATTATATCACGGTAGTGTGAAATAATTAAGTGAACTGACTACATTCCAGGATAAATTATTGTGGCAGTGTTCATCGAATGATGGGCTGTTATTATTTTTGTTATAAAGGATCTGAGCTCAAGGTGATGATATCTTAGTGGCATTTTTGTTAGCGGGTTTCTCTTTACATTTGTTTCTCTCTCTTGAATCCGAGAGGGCCTTGAGTTGTGTGGAGCCCTATTAGCCGTTGCTTACGTTGCTCGTGCCTAGCGCTACCACTGAAGGCACCACCGGGGATACAGAGGCGGTCGGACTTCGTATTAACCGGGGCCTACGTCCGGGTCGGCAACCCCGGGGAAATATTTGCACACCCGAAAATAACAAAAAAAGGAAAATCATCGCCGATATAACCAGCGGTGGGTATTTGTACAGGAATGAGAATGGATGGAAGAGCGCGGTGCAGGCTACGCACGAGTCTCAGACGGTCGCCGCAGTGTGCGAGCTTTGCCGTCTGCCGTCAGCGCGTGCTGTTTGCCGTCGCGTTGCGTTTCTCCGCTACGCCTCGTTTGCTTCTGACGGAGCCCCCGTAGCAACACAACCCGCCGTCCCACCCCTCCTTCCACCCCAACGCATCCTCGCCACGCCGCGAGCACCAATTAACGGTTACGTAGCAACGGATAATGAAGGAGGAGAAACACACAGTGGCCATAATTACCGTCTCGCTCGAGGGTTGCGGCGTGTTTCCTGGCACCCTGTGTGGTGGGGCCATTGCACAGAATTAGTTTAAGTGCCGTGTGGTCTACACCTTCATTCATTTGCATGCGACTATCACCGTGCATCTACGAATAGTAATGATCATTTACAGCCCCTTTGTCAATGCACTGCTGGTCGTAGGGCTTCCCATGCCGTGCCGGTCATCGGCATCGTTTGACCGTACTTCACCGTGCCGCGGTCGGTGCGGGTCGTTGTAAGGGGGCCGCCAAGACCAGTTCAGGAGTCACTCGCAACTGGTACACGGGTCCTGAGCAGCAATCGAACTCAGGTCTCCATGTTCACAGCGCAGTGCACCAACCAGTCCACTTTACCATGGGAGTCCAGTTCAGCAAGGGAGTCCAGTTTACCATGGGAGTCCAATTTACCATGGGAGTCCATTTCAGCAAGGGAGTCCAGTTTACCATGGGAGTCTAGTTTACCATGTGAGTCTAATTTACCATGAGAATCCAATTTACCATGGGAGTCCAGTTTTCCACGGAAGTCCAGTTCACCACGTGAGTCCAGTTCACCACGTGAGTCCAGTTCACCACGGTAGTCAAGCTTACCATGGAAGAAGAAGGGATCCCCTCCTGCACCAGTCTTGCACGATCCTCTGCGGTCCCGCCGGGAAGTGCACGGGCAGTAGCAGCGTTACGCGGTGCCACTTCCCAGAGTGGAGAGCCGGAGACGCGTTGGGCAGGGGGTTGCACGGGCACGTCACGTGGCAAACTCGTGGCTTTCCCGTAATGAAAATGCGAGGGAAAAGCCATTACTTTAAACGGAGCAGCGTAAGTAGCGCCCTGGGAACGACGGACGCATTCATTTTCCATTAGCTAATGGCTGCCTCGGTTGCAGCCTTGTGAAGTGTTTTGTGATTTCAGATTACTTTTATATGATGTTTTTACAAAGGTTTTGTATTTTAATATATAACTGTTGCTGAGTATTGTTTTTTTTTTTTTAAAAGGGTTCCACAAACATTAATTTTAATTGAAGTAAAAAAAGAACCTAAATTATTATTTTAAAGAGTACCTCTTCGAATTTGTTGGAATTACTTTAACTGTGCAACATTCATATTCTTAGTTTTTTCGGTAAAGTCACGTTGAAGAGAAACAACAAAATAACAAAATATATATAAAACAATAAAAAAATTCTCACGACGTTTCGACCATAACTCAAACGGTCGAAACGTCGTGAGAATTTTTATTGTTTTATATATATTGTTATTTTGTTGTTTTTCTTCAACGTGACTTTACCGAAAAAACTAAGAATATGAATTACTGCAGTCACGAAAGCTTTAAATCAAAATTGTGCAACATTCATTGGAGTCTCACTTTAAATGTGAGCGTTTTATTGCAATTCATGCAAATTTGCTGAGTATTATTAAAAAAATTAAGAAAACGAGTGTATTACTTTTACAGGAAAGCATCTGTTCATCATTAATAGTCTTCATAGGGATGTTTAGCCAATCCCCTTCTGAGTGTTGTACTCATAGAAGAAAGACCCATTGAAAGCGAGGGCATAACACTCCAGAAAATCCACGCAGATCAGTAGCCTATTTTGGCTGTTCCATCTCTGCAGAGGCCAACGCATAGCCCTGCACATTGACTGTCTCGTGCACGCGTTCGCAACGGCAAATCAGGACGCGACTCGACCGTGAGTCGGAACCGCCGCCACCTTGGTCTCGTAACGAGTCCAATTTCAAGCGGGCAGCATCTGCTAATGCGACACGGTACTGCACCTGCACGCAGGTGGGATTCAAACTGCTGTAATCCCCTGCAAGCTGGCTCAGTGGCGGGCACGCTTGCGCCACCGTGCCATTCAACCGTCCTTGATCCCAGCCAACGTTTACCGGATTTCATTTCAATTTCCCGAACTAAAGAGGCGCAACGTTAGCTTCCGACATTTGTGTTCGTTCCGTTGCCTTCTTTGTTTTGACACAATATCCAAGCAAATTTCTTGGTTCTTTCGGTAAAGTCACCACGTAGAAGGGAAACAATAAAATAATAAAAAATATGAAACAATACAATTCTCACGACGTTTCGACTGCAACACAAGCAATCATCATCAGGTGTGAAAACCACAGCAAGAAAATTTGAAAAAAGTGGCGGGTTTTTTTTACGTTAGCAACACGGAGAGCGATTTGACAGTTTATTCAGATGGACGAGTCCATCTATGTTCGGAAAAGAGGGACGAAATAATGGATGCGGTCTGAATGCCGCCTTAAGCGTGAACAATCAATTAAGACCCGAAATGGTTTATCAAATCTTTGCTAACGTTAAAAAAACCCGCCACTTTTTTCAAATTTTCTTGCTGTGGTTTTCGCACCTGATGATGATTGCTTGTGTTGCAGTAGAAACGTCGTGAGAATTTTATTGTTTTATATTTTTATTATTTTATTGTTTCCCTTCTACGTGACTTTACCGAAAGAACCAAGAATATGAATCCCTGCAGTCACAAAAGCTTTAAATCAAAAAATATCCAAGCAATTGTGTTTTTTTTGTCTTCTCCGTTGTGTTACAATAAAAGCCAAGCGCCTCTGCCACGCGCGTGACACCGCAGCTTTTCAAAAGTCGCGTTGGCTTATTAAGGCGTGACGTTGACATCGCCGCTTTGAAACAAACTAAGATCTCGTCAAGGTGGCAAGCCAATGTGCCTGGTATACGGTAGGACATGGGTTCAATCCCGATCCTGATGCCTGGATATTTGAAATTTGCGTGTCTCTCTCTCTCCCAGTGGTCACGTGGATTTTTCTCCGGGTTTTCTGGGTTTTAAACCCTCCACATTTAGAATCAATGTGCGTTTATATTATTTGGCTGCTAGAAATTTTCACGCAATAAACCACTTTGTCAAGCTATCATTTGTGGCCAGGTCGCTTCTGAAAAAAAGAGCTATATAGCAGAGTGGGCCTTACCTGGTAAAATAACAAAATGGTTTATTTTAAAATTCTCGTCCCCAGCAGAGACGCTCTGAGCTACAACGACTCGGCAAGTCATTTAAATGGCGCATGGCTTCATCTCCAAGTTGGAAACTTGCCTGCGAGGGCGAAAAACGGTTACACGGTCACAAATAATGGCGCTCGCGCGTTGTTTTTCCGGTTCGCAAGTACGCTTTTGGGACACCAAAGTCGAGTCGATTTCAGCCTACTTTTGAGAATGTGTCCCCTCCCTCCCGCCCACGCTCCCTGCCTCCCTCAACGGCGGCGCTTTGGTTATTTCCGTGTTCCGTGTCACTTATCACCACCTTTCTACTCTTCTGTCGGTTACAACTTTCCCAATTTAAATCCAACCAAAATTATGACAAGATGTTTACAGCGACATGGGAATCGAAGTGAATTTACAACAAACGTCTGGAAGATGTACGATGTTTGTGGCTGTAATGTGATTTTTAAGATGTTACTGCCTGCATTGTGGATTTAGTGAGTCCGTGCATTTGCAACAAAATAGTTTCTCCAGCATCAGCTTTGCTCTCGTTTCAATCTGGTGGTTTCTATACAGAGCACACATACGAAGACAAAGACAAAGATCCCCCGTGTAGCCTTAACAGACTGTTGGAGCAAGTGCTGTTAGCGAGCACCTATGAAGGCTGGCGTGGTACACGAGCGGATGGGTGGCCAGCGCCACGCCTAGCCGCCTTTGTCTCCCCAGTGGCGATGTTTACACACCTCACCAGGTACTAATTGGCTGTAATGTGATTATTAAGATGTTACTGCCTGCATTGTGGATTTAGTGAGTCCGTGCATTTGCAACAAATTGCAACAAAATAGTTTCTCCAGCATCAACTTTGCTCTCGTTTCAATCTGGTG